ACAAAAACTAAGAAGAGACTAGCAGGTGTGGGGTTGTACTGCCTGGCATCTTTAATCTAATTGCCATTTGGACATCGTGACAAGCTCACCTAAGTAAACCATCTGTTAGGTCTCTCATTCCATTTCACTGTGCATCCTTTGGACAAGGAGAAACAAAAATGTAAAATGCTTAGAGCAAAGCAATGTTTTTGGATATGAAATTCCTGCATCAATGTAGTCTTACGAAATTCCCTAGTTCATTCAATATTTGAAATTGATTATACATCTTACATATTTTGCTGTGATTTTTTCTTTTCATTTTTTTTAAAAAAAATCAAGAACTGGTAAGATCCCTTTGAAAATTTGAGATTCATAGGGCAGCATTGCTAATATTTTGAATGCTCATTATACATCTTATGTTAAGATATTTTTCTCTATAGTATTAAACTTCATTTTTCTTTCTTTTTTTTCTTTTCATTAGAAGTTAGAATAGGAACTTTCAATTGTGAAATTGAGAACAAAATATAAAAAGAAGCATTACATATTCAAAAAGTGCACAAATTCATTACAGTGTGATTTACCTTGCTGTGCTTCTTTATCATACACTTTCATATGAATAACCCCAGAAGTCTTATTTCGTAGGACAGTGGGGTTTCTTCCATCTTTTTTGCTGCAGGTTCCCAGCTGGGATAAATTTTGGTCTGCCCACCACAGTTTCTTATCTATAAATGAAAGATTTTTTTTTTTTTTAAAGAAAGAGATAATCATCTTATTAAATAACAATAAATGACTATTAAACTATAACACTTCCTGATTTCTTTTGTTATATTTCCAAATACTGTTTCTAAAGGAAACAGCAAAATCAAATAACATTTACTTTTAAAAATGCAAACCATAGTAACATTTGATTGTTCATATATTCCTCCTCCTTCTATAATAAGAGATACATGACTTTTCTTTTTTCTTTTTCTTGGTATAAATAAAAAAAAATATTTCAGATTAATATGAAATACATATTTTTATTCATGTACTTACACATGATCATGGTAGTTTTATATTATATTTATATGTGAATGACAAAACCCAACTAAATCTCTAAACAAAATACAAAAAAGATTTCATTCTCCAAATTTTTATTTGAAGTGTGCAATGCTTTTCATCATTGGCTGTACTAATTACTGTGGTTTCTTCACAGTTACAGTAACCTATATTTGTTGTACAGTTTGCACTCTTTTGTCCAAAATTTATTAATTTACACTATTAACTTGTATTAAGAGCTCGTTTAGCATTAGACAATGCAATGTACAAGAAGATTAAAAAAAAGTCCTGATCCCCCAAAGATCAGTTCAGGAGATCCTGGATGGAGTAGGAGAACAATGTGGAACAAAACTCAAAATCAGAAAAATGACCAGGTTTACTGGTCTGACAGAGCCTGGTGAGACCCCTGAGATTGTGGTCCCTAGTTACCCTTCAAACCTGGAACTGAACTCACTCCTGTGTCTTCCAGCCAGACAAAAGACAGTTATATAGGGGGAACATTTACATCAGGTAGATTAAACTCTTTAGAACATCAATCATGGGAGAACAGAAAGGCAATATTTGTGCAGGGAGATAGCTCGCAGGCAGGAATGCATGGGAAAGAAGGACAAGGGAGGTGGTAACTACACTGAGGAAGTGGGAAGATAGCTGTTACATTGTGGGTAATTGTAGTCAATGTCATGAAACAAAATGTGTGTGAACTGCTATATGGATAATGAATTGCTCTCTGTAAACTTTCACCCAAATAACAATAAAACATTTTATAAAATAAATGTTCAGAATCATAAAAAAAAAGTCCTGACACTTTGAAAGCTAAGATTCTAGTCAGAATAATACATTTATTAGTATGTTTTCTCAAATTGTCATCATAAACCTTTAAGAAACATTTATTTTCATTTTACAGATAAAGAACTTGATGTGGTAGAGATTAAATAACTTAATAAAATTTACATATTTTATCTGCCTGTCTCCAACTTTGTATTCTTTCCCAGTACATTAAAGATTTTAAGGTAATAAAATACTTTAAAATGAAATGTGTAATTTTAAAGGTTGTGAATAGTTTAGACATTTTCAACAAGAAGAGGGTGCATAGTCAATTAATGTAACTGATGTCAGTAAGATGCAAAGCTGGAAAAAGTTGAATTGGCAAAAAAAAAAAAAAAAAGAAAAAAGAAAGATCTAATTAATAACAGTTGAGACCACAAAACTTTCTACTTAGAAGTAATAAGGTCATTTAATTCTATTAGCAAATAAATTCAGTCTATATCTTCAAAGGACAATAATGCTCAATGCAATGTCATGATGTTTTGACTAAACCAGAGCTTAGTTTTAGTATTGCAACAATAATGATGTTAAATCAGTAATAATTATTAGAACTTATTTTCTTGCTTTCTGAACATTATATTGGGCTAGGCACAATTCTAGACATTACATACAGATTGATTCATTTAACCTTAAAAAACTTCATCAAGTAGGAATTACTATAATTATCATCCCATTTTACAGTTAAGAATACTAAGGCAAAGAGAGCTTAAATATTTTTCACTGGATCATAAACTGAACAGAGGCTTCAGGTCATAAATGAAATATTAATTTCAGAGTCAGTGCTGTTAATCTTGTTAACCTATAGTGCCCCCTTTCATAGATGAATGGAGTTGAGTCATCCTTGACATATTATTAAGGAACTTAGCTAATATTGGTGAAGTTGAGTAGCCCATTCACTAATGCTTTTCTTTGGACCCATGAATGTTCATAAAAACTGAGAAATTCCTATGATAAAAGTGGTAGAGAGACTTTGACTATGGCTTACGTGATCAATTCAAAGCACAAGCTAGCCCACCAGATTTTAGTATGCCAGAAAATAATAGATCCAATCATATGGCCATTGCAAGTAACCTGTAAAAATCTGCCATTTGCTGAATTTTGTAGTGTTTTTGTAATTTAAAAGAAGCATATCCACAATTTACTTCCAAGGCCATTAACATATTTCCCCTTTTTTGAACTACATATACTTCAAACAAAACATCTTCTGAACAAGACAGAAAATCAACCTATAGTAAGTCAGACAGTAAAGATATTTGCAAAAATGTAAAACATTGCCACTCTTCTCACATTTTTTTAGGTATGATAATTATTTTCATTATTTTTTTTAAAATCTACAATATATAATGTGTTTATTTTTAAATAAATGTGTTAAAACTTTTTCAGGTTCAATTTCTAATATGGTGAATATTGATATGTATAAGGCACATCAACAAAAGTTCTTTGGATTCCTCAATTAATTTTTTTTTTTTAAAGGAAAGGGTGGAATTTAATCTTTATTACAGGGCACTGCAAGAAAGGAAATTCCACATAGAAATAAGAAACCCAATAACATGAGAGGCTTTCTACAATATGTACAGTTTAAAACTGTTCAAGTATAGTTTTGTTGTAAAAAGTGCTACATAACAAATCACATTTATAAAGAGTTCTTAGAAAAAACAGTAAGACAAACTTACACCAAACACAGTACACAACAAACAACGTCATGACTCAAGTGTATAATCTTAAATGTAAAAGGTCCCAGGAGTGCCATCCAGAACCTGGAAGGCATACTCTTCAGAGGTAATTTCTGGCACAACATTTTGATCTTCTTCTTCCTTGACAGAGAAATACTTCTCAATCCATCTTAATGAAGCCTTGTATATAGACTCATTTTCATGCTTTTGTAGAACTTCAATGTTGTTCAAGCCTCCACATTCTTCACTCCCTAAACTAAGTTTCTGAATTTCTCCTGTTTTCTCAGCAGCCTGAAAGGTATTTAAAATGGCATCCAGAATAACCAGAATAATTTTTATATCCTTTGCAGTTAAAAGGTTCATCAATGGTTCTGTTAGGCCTCAATAGATGAGGTATACAATCTGTTCAACTGTTCCTCCACTTGTACAGTGGTTACAGCCTATACTGCTTCTTTTTGAGTCTTTTAAAGTCTGTGTTAGAGAGAATGTCAACAGAAATGAGTAATCCATGATTCACCACTCGTTGTATCTGGTCTGGTAGCCTGATGTTTGACATTGTCTATGTAACTTCCTACTGAATATCAGTTTTGGCATTATTTTGCAGGCTGGGAACACACCAAGTGTTCCTGCAGCTATTCCAACCTGACTCTGTTTATCTATCTGGTGACAATATTCCCTGTGGCTCTTAGTGCAGGAGTCACAATTGGCAGTTCATTAGCTCCTAGAAGCTTCACAAGTTGGGGCACAACTCCTGTTTTCAAAAACATTTCAATTAATTCATTTGGACCATCATAGGATAGAAAATAGCCCAGCAGATATCTGTCAATACTTCTGCATCATTGTGATGCAGGAGACGAACTAAAGTAGGAAGAATTTTCTCAACAGCATATAATGGGGGTGCAGGATTCTTGTTTTGACAAAGATTTAAAAGTGTCCAGGTAAGATTACGCAAGTAACCACATGCTGAAGATGACATATCAGGAACTCCAAGTAGAGCCAACAGAGGGTCAACTGCACCATACTTGATAACCAAGTCTCGGAAAGGTGAACCATCACCTGCAATGTTTCCTAGAGCCCATATAGCTTGTTCACTGATGTGAGCCACCAGAGAAATGAATGTTAGTGAGTACCCAAGCAGATTCAAACTGAATAGGTCTATACTCAGTTCTGCCCAAGAAGAACAAAAATTTTGGAATCAAACCAGCCTGGATTATGTTGTGTATGGGGGCCTTTTTTTTTTTTTCCCCCTGGAAAGCAGTTTCTTAGCAGCTTGAGTAGCTTGGAGCTGGTTTTCCAAAATTGTTACTATTTATACTTTTGACAGTGTCATCAACAGACCAATTTATAGTGCCCTGGTGCAGCGAATTGGTTGATGTGGCCCTTCTAGCCATTGTCCTCCATTCTGTGATGTTTTGTAAATCCCATTATCCATGCCTGTTTGGGGTGGTGTGGTAGTTAAGGTCAGGTATCAACTTGGCTGGGCAGCTGGTAGTAGTCATTCCCTATAATGACTAGCAATTGACTCTGATGAGTTTTAGGTTATTTCTGTTGGGGCAACACAGGTGGAATGTATCTTGATTCCTGCCTTGCTGGAAGGTATAATTCAAATCACCACCCTTAGCTTCCTTGAGGATATACCTACAAATCTCCTAGGAAGATTTGCCCTCCTCTTGCTCCAGTTTTGTGTCTTGGATCATCCTCATCTCACCCCTGGATTTGAGACAGCAGCCATCGTCTGATCTGCTGATTGAGGTTCATCAAACCCCGAGAGTTGGGAGGATCCTCCAGACCTACTCACGGACACGGGACTTGCCAGCCTGCCAGCCTCCACCACTACTACGTGAGATGAACCCTTGGGTGTCTGTGAGTTCTGTGAGGCGTTACAGTGAAATACAGAACCCTAACACTGGGGAAATTACTGGGAGGAGGAGGAGGGGTTAATGTCTGAAATGATGGAGTGGTACGGTAGTTTGGACATTTGGGATATCTTTAACCTCCACCTATGAGGACTGGCCTTGTGCTGATCTTTATGAGCGTAATTGTTCAAGCACCTGGTTATTGCAGTTTTCCTGCAATGGAGAAATAACATCATCAGAAAAAGAGCTTATAATTCTCTTTTTCAGCATCTGGTCATCCTTCTTGGCTTTCCTCAGCTCCACACTAACCTCTACACCGCACTACCTCAT